TCCACCTCCCAACCAGGGACTTCCATCCTTTGTAATTCAAGTCTATCACAGAAAGTTCTTAAATCCTCAGGAAATCTCAATTGAGCTGTAACTCCATTCTTCCATCCAATTAGGCTCTCCGGCGTACCCCATCTATAGTGCACCTTTTGCTTTATCATCTGTTCTAACAGGGGTTTTAAAGTTCTTCTCTATGGCGGTGTAGGAGAGCGTGGTGTGGAAGCTCTCCGTCCTTTCCCACCGCCTCGGATACAGATACTGGAGAACAGGACCGTGGGGACCTACCAGAGTATGGTGGGTTACGTGCTGAAGCCGTGGTCCCGGGCACTATGAATAGGAAGTGAACTGTGCTGTCGGATTGAAGACAGGCTGGAGACTCGTCCCAGGGGAGAGAGAGCAGAGAGCAGGGTTGCCGAGGAAACGAGGAGGCTCGGCTTGCCCACGTGTCAGCCGCAGAGAATTACTGGGTAGGGGAAATGCCGGCTGGTGTTTAGAGCTGAGAGGAGAGAGGAAGATATCGGATTGCTCCCCTCCCAGTACATGAGACATTCTTATGGGAGAAGTATGCAGCAAGATGCCTCCCTCCCCCCCCCCTCTGAATGGAAGTGACTTTGTTACAGAGGAGTGAAAACAAAGAGACCCGGAGAAACCCCCCCCCCCCTCCTCCCTGAAGAGAGCTATGGAATGTGACAACTAAGGAACTTGCTAGAGCTGCAGCTGTGAAGGGTGAGTGAGAGCAGCCTGGATGGATTATTGTGATATATAAATGACTGTTTCTGTTGTCTAAAGGCGAAGGAGGAGTTGTGAAAGGGGGTTTCCCTGGGGGGACTGACGGAGAGAGAGGAGGAGATTAAAAGCAGCCTGGAAGGAATATTAAATAGAGAACTCGAAGGAAAAAAAAGAAAAAAATAGGAGTCCCTGTATATATTGTTATAAATCTCTGTGTTTCCCTTATTAAAGAAAGAAAAAAAAAAAAAAAAAAAAAAAAGAACGCATAGAAGAGATGAAAAATAAAAATGTTAAAAATAGTGGCCCAAGGGGGTCTCAAACTGGCACGATAAAAAAATATACATCTCAAGGAAATGTGACCCCAGAAAGATCTCAAAGCGTTGGTGAAAAATGTGAAAGGGAAATGAGTACAGAAGGTAGCCCTAGACTCTCTCTGGGAAAAGAATATAACAGTCAGCATCTTACAGAAAAATTGGAGAGCAGAGACACGGAAAGTGAATTACAAATTCCAAACAAAAAAGAGATGGCAGATATGTTCAAGAACTTAGAAAAAACATTAAAACATGAAATGACAAGTATACAAAATGATTTGGGCCGGTTGCTATCAAGGGTGGAGGAGACAGAGGAAAGAGTTAAAAGCCATGCTCAATATATATTTCTGATCTGGAGAAAAGGACAATGGAAATTAAGAAAGATCAAAAAAAGCTGTTATATAGAATGGAAGTACAAGAAAACAGGGAAAGGAGAAACAACATTAGGGTGAGAGGAGTTCCGGAATTGGTAAAAGGAGAAGAAACAAGAGGCCTTATCTGTAAAATATTAAACTCCATTATGGAAAGATCAGAAACTGAAAAGATTAACCTGGAAGGTGTTTTCAGGATAGGAAAAAATCAACAAGGAAGTGGAAAAGAGAAACCAAGAGATATAATAGTCCAATTTCAGAAATGGGAGATAAAGAAGAAGTATGGAGAAAGACCAAGGGAAATCAAGTATTAATTATGGAGAAAAGAATATACAGATTTTTTGCAGACTTAACACCAGAGGAAAGCCCTCCTAACCCCTACTAACCTCACCATCAAACGATGCACTATTTTTAACCCAGCTTCTCTCTTCTTCCTGTGTTGGAAGATGAGAGGGGGGGGGGGACAGCAACGACAGTGCTGAATTTTGCAACCCGACTAACGATACTAACACCTCTTCTGCTAACATGTCTTCTTGTCCACTACTAACCTTTCTACCAAAGGACAAAGCGACTGCATTTCTATGATGGAACTGGAGTCAGCGGCGATCAGCCCGGTGAAGGAAGCGCCACTACTGGAAGCGAAAATCTTTTTGTCGATGGGTCCAGGTACTACACCCAAGACGGGTAAGCCACACACTAGTTGTGGAAAAGGGCTCTCTTGAACGCACATATGTTGGCTCAGGAAGCTGAGCTGTGGGCACTGGCCAGGGCATGGGAGTTGCGTGGCCCCTTACGTGTGCCAACGCTAGTACCACAGCGAAGAAAATCCTGTCTGAGGTTGTGTGCCGCTGGGGTCTACTTGAAACCATCGAGTCCGATAGGGGGGTCACACTTCACTGGACAGATCTTTGCAGAGGTATGTAAAGCCCTTCACATTAACCAAGGGCTACACACCCCGTATCACCCCGAGAGTAGCGGTAAGGTTTGAACGTCTCAACGGAATCCTTAAAAACAGGATCTCCAAAATCCTGGCCGATACCCCCAAAAACCTTGGCCTGAGTGTCTCCCCATTGCCCTCTATTCCATCCGGAATGCCCTCGGCAACCACATGGGCTGTCACCCTATGAGTGTTGTTTGGGGGACCTCCCAAAACAGGGTTGTACTTTTATCTCAACAGTTGTCGTCCTTTGCATTCACAGCTTACAGGTTATGTGCAATCTCTGCAACGGGAGCTGCAGAAGATACACCATCGGTTAGCGAATCGCTCCCCGATCCAAATCAATAACAGTGTTCTTTCTATTGAGCCAGATGATTGGTCGTCCTAAAGAAACATCAAAGAACCGACCTCGAGCCACGATTTACCGACCATACCAAGTCCAGCTGACGACACGGGCACCTACCTCACTCAAGCTCGAGGGATGAGACAACTGGTGCACGCAAGCCACTGCAAGAAGCTTTTCAGCTACACCAGAGAATGAGGGGTGTCATTTTCCTTATTCTTGTTATTTGTATGTCTTACATGTGTGTGAACGGAGGAAAAGACGGCAGATACCCCAACCTTTCATTTAAAATGCATCTGCGACTAGCCAGAACCGCCAACAAAACCAACTGTTGGGTATGCTCTAAAGCCCCACCCCAGTCATCACATGTCCGCAATGGCCGCTGTTCATGCCCTATATGACATCCGCGACGGCATGAAAAAGCAAGGGACCCCTGCTCAGCCCCCATGTAGACATTTGTCTGTAGAACTTAATGACACAATTTTAGCAGGTAACATCAGTTTCAGCACCAATATTAGCTCTAGCTCTCCTGTAGCGGGCCTCACCAGCCCATTATGGGGTAACTGACAGCTAGGCAGCCCTCAGGTGTGCTTTAACATCAGCTTGGCACAGGTAACAAGTTTGTTGGGACTACCACCTGTGAGGGAGGTATAACTGTCAATCTGACTAACCAGACTTCCCTTCTGAGTAATCACACTGACCGACCCAGACCATGTTTTGTTGGAAGGACGGATGTGATGTGCAGACACTGAGGGAGCAATACCCCCAGTCTGTGCAACTGTTCTCAGTGCCAGAGGCCAAACAGAGGAACTCCCTCCTGCTCTGCTCTGGCAGGTTCCATACACTATTTTCAGTGTGTTGTTCGGCAGCCTATAAGAACATTTCCCCAGAACACAAAAGGTTTGTGTGCCCTCATAAAGCTAGTCCCCGCATCTATGTAGTGATGGATCATGAAGAGTTGATGGTCCACAAGAAGGTAAGGATGGCAGGAGATTTCGCAGGGAGCTGTTCTCTGAAGGCGACCAGGCATGGGGCTTGGTTTCCCCTCATGGACAGGTTGGGGAAATAGAACTTATGAAGGGCGCTCTCAGAACAATTTTTCGGTCATCATGGATAGTATTTTTTAACGAAGACCGTTAAAGGCCTGTCAGAGAAATTGCCCCAAGAACAACAGGCAGATGGGAATTTAGTGCTTCAGGAGAAGAGTGGCCCTTGATTACCTTTTAGCCACCAAAGGGGGGTTCTGTGAGTTCATCAGGAGAGGATTGTTGTACTTGGATAGAAGATACCGATGACAAGGTCCAGGCCAATATGGACCAAAGTTAGTGAACTACAGGGAAAAGCTAGAGCTATAGGCTAGTGAGGGTTGGAATCCTGTTCAAGGGTTTGGGAGGAATGGAGACGATTTCCTGTTTCTCACATCGGATCTTGGTTGAAGGAAGTGGGAGTGTATTTCCTGATGCTTCTTTTTTTTCCTCTGCCCTCTATAAATGCCGCCAGCGGTTGAGATGTTGTCCTGTTGCCAGATCATCGACAGCCGTGGTAAACCAAGCTCGGGCAGACGACCACATCTCCATGCCCGCTCCATGGGATCCCACTCCAACCACTGATCGGAGGAAGACCTTCACCAACCAACCACCTTCTCTGCAGGTTACGTCCTGGCTTCCCTCTAATTTTATCTCCCTGAAGACCATGTTTCTCCAAGACCTCCAAGCAAGCTTCAAGTCAAGCCTCATCATTGTTTGTGTCTGCGTTTTTGGAAAACCGTCACTGGGTCGAGACCAGCCTTTGTGTGGCCCCATCTACAGGGCAATTTGAGATTCTGCTGCTGGATCTCCCCGGACACACCGTGGTATCACAAGCCTTATTCATACCACAAGTCTGTTTGTAGTTTTGCAAGATGCCTTCCTGTAGTGAAGGTATCCAACTTTCTTGAGATCATCGCTTCAATCAAGCCTGTTTGCGTTGAGTCTGGGTCAGCGTCAGGTCTTGTTGTTTCAGGTACCCCCGTGGAGCTTTTATTTCTCAGGACAACTACAGGAACTCTGGTCTAAACCAACTCTTGAGGTTTTAAGACTAAAACCCATCAAGCTGAAGAAGAACAAGAAGGGACAACGAGGAAGAATATGATAAAACAGAGAGGGAATGACATGGAAATTTTGTATTACAGGTTGAACTTTAAATGTGTCATATATTAGTGTATCATTCATATGTCTCTCTCGTGTGGCTTAATTACAAGCTCTGAAGGCTGCAATTGGCCATGGCGCATTTACAATGTATGTATTACAGTACTGCAGCCCTCGAGGTAATGGACGAGACGAGCAGATCTGCGCTTATATAGACCGGCGTGTATACCGACCACGGCATTCGATTGCGAATGCCCGCCGGCGGTAGATGCCATGGGCCTGTAATCCACATATCAGCAGCATCAAGTAACCACATGACTTCGTACCCGCAAGTGCGCCAAGCAAGTGCAAACTCCGTGTGTAGCTCATGTAATAGAGATGAGTTTACGAAGAAATGAAAAATTCGAATCGATTCGACTGATATCGGTCCGTCAGCGAATTGCGTGGACAATATTCGATTCGAGTCGAATAAATTCTGCTGTGAATTATAACTTAAAAAAAGAGGTGTTTCTAGGCTTCAGAGAGACTTAAATATTAGAGTGCAGAACACTGTACCTGTTAATTTAAATGCCCCTTGGAGAGTCTAGCTGGGGAAGGAAATAATACTGTCTGTCAGTATAGCGACATGCAGATGAGTTGCCGTCGATCTTAGAAATCACTGCACACTTTCACATCCTTTAGGCCAGGATCACTTTGGCCAAAACCATGTGTTTGGAGCCACAGTGTGGCGGTGGAGGCAGCAGCAATGGGAGGCCATACAGCAACCTATGACAAAATGGAAAACCAGCATGGAGGCGTGAGGAGACCTGAAAGTGGCACATGGCAGAGTGGTGAGCAATGGGAGGCGGTACAGGGACCCAGGGTCACACTAGTGGGCCCAGCAGCAGCGTGACCACAGCGGTACGGGGGCCCATGGCCGCTGATATGCGGGCTTGGTGGCACCTATGGAAGGCCTGTAATCTGCCAGCAACCTATGACAAAATGGACAACCGCAGGAGTGTGAGGAGATTTCAAAGTGCACATGGCAGAGTGGAAGCAATGGGAGGCCGTACAGGGACCCAGGTCACACACTGTGGGACCAGCATCAGCGTGAACAGGCGGTACGGGGGCCCATGGCCGATTTGACCTCATTCATCCCATAGTCCTGCCGACTCACGAATAGCGTGGCCTCCTCAAAGGGCCTGAGCAAGCGCAGGTGTCACACATGAGCTGACAATGGCTGACATCTAAGTTACACAGGGAGTACCTTTATCCGCTATTTAACATCAGGAAATCTGTGATGGCCTTTAGCTGTTCGTAAAGGCGGTCCTTAACATAAGTAGGGTTGAATTACACCTTGTTGCAACGTCACAGCATGAGGAGTCGGTACGGGGCCCATGGCAGATTACATGTCTGGCAGCAGCTATGTGAGGCCCGTAATCTGCCTGCACCCTATGTCAAAAAATTTAACACACCCAGCAGTGTGAAGAGACCTGAAAGTGGCACATGGCAGCAGAGTGTGGCGATGGAGACAGCAGCAATGGGAGGCCGTACAGGGGACCCATGAGAGACTCTAGACTTGGCAGCAGCATGAGGAGGCGGTATATAGGGGCCCATGGCAGATTAGGGGCCTGGCAGCAGCTATGTGAGGCCGTAATCTGCCTGCACCCTATGTCAAAAAATTTAACACACCAGCAGTGTGAAGAGACCTGAAAGTGGCACATGGCAGCAGAGTGTGGCGATGGAGACAGCAGCAATGGGAGGCCGTACAGGGACCCCATGACAGAGACTCTGGACTTGGCAGCAGCATGAGGAGGCGGTATATAGGGGCCCATGGCAGATTAGGGGCCTGGCAGCAGCTATGTGAGGCCCGTAATCTGCCTGCACCCTATGTCAAAAAATTTAACACACCAGCAGTGTGAAGAGACCTGAAAGTGGCACATGGCAGCAGAGTGTGGCGATGGAGACAGCAGCAGCAATGGGAGGCCGTACAGGGACCCATGAGAGACTCTGACTTGGCAGCAGCATGAGGAGGCGGTATATAGGGGCCCATGGCAGATTAGGGGCCTGGCAGCAGCTATGTGAGGCCCGTAATCTGCCTGCACCCTATGTCAAAAAATTTAACACACCAGCAGTGTGAAGAGACCTGAAAGTGGCACATGGCAGCAGAGTGTGGCGATGGAGACACAGCAGCAATGGGAGGCCGTACAGGGACCCATGACAGACTCTGGACTTGGCAGCAGCATGAGGAGGCGGTATATATAGGGGCCCATGGCAGATTAGGGGCCTGGCAGCAGCTATGTGAGGCCCGTAATCTGCCTGCACCCTATGTCAAAAAATTTAAACACACCAGCAGTGTGAAGAGACCTGAAAGTGGCACATGGCAGCAGAGTGTGGCGATGGAGACAGCAGCAATGGGAGGCCGTACAGGGACCCATGACAGACTCTGGACTTGGCAGCAGCATGAGGAGGCGGTATATAGGGGCCCATGGCAGATTAGGGGCCTGGCAGCAGCTATGTGAGGCCCGTAATCTGCCTGCACCCTATGTCAAAAAATTTAACACACCACAGCAGTGTGAAGAGACCTGAAAGTGGCACATGGCAGCAGAGTGTGGGCGATGGAGACAGCAGCAATGGGAGGCCGTACAGGGACCCATGAGAGACTCTAGACTTGGCAGCAGCATGAGGAGGCGGTCTATATAGGGGCCCATGGCAGATTAGGGGGCCTGGCAGCAGCTATGTGAGGCCCGTAATCTGCCTGCACCCTATGTCAAAAAAATTTAACACACCAGCAGTGTGAAGAGACCTGAAAGTGGCACATGGCAGCAGAGTGTGGCGATGGAGACAGCAGCAATGGGAGGCCGTACAGGGACCCATGACAGACTCTAGACTTGGCAGCAGCATGAGGAGGCGGTATATATAGGGGCCCATGGCAGATTAGGGGCCTGGCAGCAGCTATGTGAGAGCCCCGTAATCTGCCTGCACCCTATGTCAAAAAATTAAACACACCAGCAGTGTGAAGAGACCTGAAAGTGGCACATGGCAGCAGAGTGTGGCGATGGAGACAGCAGCAATGGGAGGCCGTACAGGGACCCATGAGACAGACTCTAGACTTGGCAGCAGCATGAGGAGGGCGGTATATAGGGGCCCATGGCAGATTAGGGGCCTGGCAGCAGCTATGTGAGGCCCGTAATCTGCCTGCACCCTATGTCAAAAAATTTAACACACCAGCAGTGTGAAGAAGAGACCTGAAAGTGGCACATGGCAGCAGAGTGTGGCGATGGAGACAGCAGCAATGGGAGGCCGTACAGGGACCCATGAGAGACTCTGGACTTGGCAGCAGCATGAGGGAGGGCGGTATATAGGGGCCCATGGCAGATTAGGGGCCTGGCAGCAGCAGCTATGTGAGGCCCGTAATCTGCCTGCACCCTATGTCAAAAAATTAAACACACCAGCAGCAGTGTGAAGAGACCTGAAAGTGGCACATGGCAGCAGAGTGTGGCGATGGAGACAGCAGCAATGGGGGGCCGTTACAGGGACCCATGACAGACTCTGGACTTGGCAGCAGCATGAGGAGGCGGTATATAGGGGGGGCCCATGGCAGATTAGGGGCCTGGCAGCAGCTATGTGAGGCCCGTAATCTGCCTGCACCCTATGTCAAAAAATTTAACACACCAGCAGTGTGAAGAGACCTGAAAGTGGCACATGGCAGCAGAGTGTGGGCGATGGAGACAGCAGCAATGGGAGGCCGTACAGGGACCCATGAGAGACTCTCTGGACTTGGCAGCAGCATGAGGAGGCGGTATATAGGGGCCCATGGCAGATTAGGGGCCTGGCAGCAGCTATGTGAGGCCCGTAATCTGCCTGCACCCTATGTCCAAAAAATTTAACACACACCAGCAGTGTGAAGAGACCTGAAAGTGGCACATGGCAGCAGCAGTGTGGCGATGGAGACAGCAGCAATGGGAGGCCGTACAGGGACCCATGAGAGACTCTAGACTTGGCAGCAGCATGAGGAGGCGCGTATATAGGGGCCCATGGCAGATTAGGGGCCTGGCAGCAGCTATGTGAGGCCCGTAATCTGCCTGCACCCTATGTCAAAAATTTAAACACACACCACCAGCAGTGTGAAGAGACCTGAAAGTGGCACATGGCAGCAGCAGAGTGTGGCGATGGAGACAGCAGCAATGGGAGGCCGTACAGGGACCCATGAGAGACTCTAGACTTGGCAGCAGCATGAGGAGGCGGTATATAGGGGGCCCATGGCAGATTAGGGGCCTGGCAGCAGCTATGTGAGGCCCGTAATCTGCCTGCACCCTATGTCAAAAAAAAATTAAACACACCAGCAGTGTGAAGAGACCTGAAAGTGGCACATGGCAGCAGAGTGTGGCGATGGAGACAGCAGCAATGGGAGGCCGTACAGGGACCCATGAGAGACTCTGGACTTGGCAGCAGCATGAGGAGGAGGCGGTATATAGGGGCCCATGGCAGATTAGGGGCCTGGCAGCAGCTATGGTGAGGCCCGTAATCTGCCCTGCACCCTATGTCAAAAAATTTAACACACCAGCAGTGTGAAGAGACCTGAAAGTGGCACATGGCAGCAGAGTGGCGATATGGAGACAGCAGCAATGGGAGGGCCGGTACAGGGGACCCATGAGAGACTCTGGACTTGGCAGCAGCATGAGGAGGCGGTATATATAGGGGCCCATGGCAGATTAGGGGCCTGGCAGCAGCTATGTGAGGCCCGTAATCTGCCTGCACCCTATGTCAAAAAATTTAACACACACCAGCAGTGTGAAGAGACCTGAAAGTGGCACATGGCAGCAGAGTGTGGCGATGGAGACAGCAGCAATGGGAGGCCGTACAGGGACCCATGAGAGACTCTCTGGACCTAGCAGCAGCATGAGGGAGGCGGTATAATAGGGGCCCATATGGCAGATTAGGGGCCTGGCAGCAGCTATAGGAGGCCCGTAATCTGCCAGCACCCTATGTCAAAAAATTAAACACACACCAGCAGTGTGAGGAGACCTGAAAGTGGCACATGTTTGAGGCATGATTCATTCATGGCGGATTTAGTCAGTTGTGTCAGGAAACTGGTGGTTTGAAATCCCAGACTAATCCACGCCTGATTCATTTTCACAAACGTGAGTCTCTCCACACTTTGGGTGGACAGTCGTGTCCTCCGCGGAGTTACAATACCTCCTGCCGCACTAAACACACGCGCTCCGATGCCACGCTACTACTGGCCGGGCATGACAGCCTTTCAAGGGCAAATTCAGCTAGTTGGGGCCAAAGGTCAAGTTTCGTTGCCCAGTAGTCAAGGGGATTGTCTACCTCGGTTGGCAGGGTGCTGTCCAAGTAGGCCCAAGCCTGTTGTTTGAGCTCCTGCT